GTTGAAACTCCTTTTTTCAAAATGATAGTGAGAATTGTGTTTGTAGTGCGGGCAGAGGTAAACAAAAGTACTGGCGTTAAGGGGGACATCAATGTCTTCTACCGGTTGTTAGAATTTCTAGTCAAAGATGAACATATGTAATATTGCGCATAATTTATTTGCTTAACATTTCACCACGCTGTTATTTATATGCTTCATAAATTAATGTTATCCACACGCTATAATCAATCGAGCACAAATTCAAGTCTGACATTACATTAATATTACTATTAAATATAAAAAAATCTAGGAGGGGGCGTAAAAATGAAGTTAATATTTCAGAAAAAATATGTGTATTGATAATTATATATCGTAGCTTAAACAGGGCTTGCGTAATGTCCTTAAAAAATCACAGATATGAAAAAAAAATGGAACTCTTTAAGTATTTGTTTCGATAGCATCTACTTGAAACGACAGTTTGTGACAATTTGTTATGGTCCTCCCATCGTTAAACGTAAATGTATAGAACAGTCAAGGACTTGCATATCTGTCGAAACATTGTGCTTATAGCTACTCGGGTTATTAGCCTGAAATACCATTTGAATGAGAAATTCGCCCGATTATATTGGTGCTTTAGAATTTTAAACTGAAGGAAAGTCGGTGAAAACTACCTGTAATTTGAGGTTTTTAGAGAGATGCCTCACCCAGTTAGTAGGTTTAATTAGTGCACTCACTAAGCTAATGCTCCGACCTCCAGTACCCCACCGAGGATGCAATCAAACCCAGATATGAATGGAAAATTGTTTCCCAAAATGTTAACTAGATTTAAGTACAATTGATCGTCGCTCATGGATGAATGTCTCAATCGGTTTCACAATGGATCTTTCCAGTCAACAATATTAGCCTTTCAATAGCCAACATAAATGTTTTTTCTAATGCACGCGAAATTATACTTCTCTACCCGGGCAAGTGTGGTGTTATTGGCAGTGACTAGAGAAGTTAACGTGGTTTTTCCGGGACTCTCTTTTGTTGCTAAGGGGAAATAGTTGAAATAAACTCAGCATATCGGGGGTATATTAATACCGAGTTAAACAGTAAATGTGTAGATTCCCGCAGTATTAATGTACCCCCCTCCATTCTACGGCGAATGTACTCCGGGGTAGTGCATTGCTCATTGTTAAAATTCTCGGTAATACTAAAAGCAGAGCCAAATGCCACCGGAGGGTTGATTTAACCACGCACGCATTTTTTAAATTAAGTAATTTAAATGACTTGCTCTAAATGTTGGGATTACACATAACGGATCGCTTTGCAGGGAATTGTGGGATATGAAATAAAGAAACTTCCTCTTCAAATAAATTTCACTTTCTTAGAAACATGATAGGGGATCATCTGAGTCGGTCAAGGGATGAGTCTGGACTTGCGATCATATAGGCGTCTTGGTATATTTCTCCGGATAAAATATAAGATGAAAACGTCTCTGTCGTATATATGCTGTAAATTGAGTTGGAAAATTACAGCTCGGCTCATATGTAGATAATGAGCAAGAGGGATAATGTAATGAAGCAAACAATAGGGCCAATCTTTATACACAGTCATCGCATCAGCTGGGAGAAAATTTCATCGCCAATTCAGCGAAGAGTTTTAATAACTTAAAAGGATTCGGTTCACAGTTGTGTCGATCAACGCATGAGAAATTGAAATAAATGATCCAACTTATTATTGTTACTTTTCAGCAGTCACCAACACAGCCGTGTTTGGAATGATGTAAACGTTCTCGGCATCGAGAGAAGAGGATGACAAGAGAACAGCGTTTTGGTATCATTTATGCAAATTCGGCGTTGATAACAGAGATATTGTTCGGAGGACATTGGACGAGCAGACAACTACGTAATCAAACTGACACTTTTTATAAGCTCCACATAGGTGACCTCTATTTCACGTGACGGAGTGACATACACATCATCAGCTGGCGGTTTTATTTTTAACAACCAATGCCGCCCGCATGTCACTGAAGTTTTGACTGACATGACCGTCACTCGGGTGGCCAGGAGACGTTTTTCATATATAAAAATATATACATATATATTTTCATCCCTTTGTTAATATAATTAGAAAGATGGACATTCTGATACGCCATTAGCATCGAAAAGATTTGATAGGTACAATGGTGACAGCAAATGGCCAGGGGGTGTACGAGATGTGTGGGAATTACTAAATACTAGTACGCTTTCATACACGCGGCAATTTTCATTTGCCCGGCTTCGCATCTAATAGCACTGCTCAGATCACTGATGTCTACTCGACTCGAGATGACAAAAACATTGCCTTTGCTTACATTTAAATAAAGGATAGAAAAGCAATACAACCATGATCGCAATTAAATTTCTCTCGCGATCTTTGGAACTCCCTGCGGACCCAGCTGTAGCGGAGCTGGCACGATCATTGCCGTGCTTTTCATAGCGAACGCTAAGGACGTAAATAACAATATAACGCTATGATAACAGCGGGTGGTAATCACTTCACTGGCTCCTCCCCCGTAATTTAGATAACGTTTATAGGTAACAAGCATGGGGCTAGAGAGCATAACTATCTACATATCGTACACCATACGGCGTGCATGTTATTAGTGGCGGCGGTCGGCTGGGCGATGTTTGACGAGACCAGGCCGTGACAAGAACGATCACACTGTAGCCACAGTGAAATATATTTCCGCTAATAATCGGAACTATAAATACCGGGAATTTCGAAACTGGTGAAGTCAATGATAACTACGATAAACTCTGAAGTACTTTTATTCGGATTTTTTTCGACAGAATGTGAAGTGCGTGCTTTTTAAACAAAATATATATGAACAACATGTATGAATTAGTCAGTGTTTAGCACTTAGTTGTTACCGTAATATATAACAACCAAGTATTAGAATATAACCTGGTGTAGATGTCCTTTAGTGGTTATGTTGTAGTGTCCGTTCGATGGCATACTGGTGCAATGCGCTTTAAACAATCAATCTCACTGACTCACTATGGTGTTGTTGTTTTTTTGCAAATTATAAATTTCACCCGGCATGTGAGCTGTCAATATCTTCACTGTGTTTTTGTTTCACCCCACAGCACGCTATGTTCATTTCCTTTTGTCTGTTTATGTCTATTCTATGGTCTATTCATTGCTATTTGGGTTAATCGTATGGACTTTTCATCATGATCTTACATCAATGTAACAACATACATTTATTTATGTGTGTGTGTGTGTGTGTGTGTGTGTGTGTGTGTGTGTGTGGTTGTCGGATGGGCACTGCACACGCATTATCTCTTTGTTTAATTCATACCCATACACAACCATTCAGCTATCAACAGTCTGTTGGGTTAGCACTATTTTCTACATGTATTTCCGCTGTTTAAAATACAACAAACATTCCAAGGTGTCAATAGAATATCAGTGCCCCCCTCCCCATCTCCCTTAGCCTAAAATTGTATTAGCATCTCAGTATAATTTCCATCACAAATTTGTGTTGTGCACCCATACATCATCGTTTCTCGTCATCGATCGTTGCCCGGTATAAATAAATTACATAATTCAAATATACCACGTGTAAGGCACAAATGCAATATATACATATTGCTGGACAAGCCAGTTATTTGCAATGGAATGATACCCCCAGCACACATAGTGAGTACCATTGTGCAGGTATTTAGCTAGATTTGGGGGTTAGCCATTTCTGAACAAGCATCGATGAGACGAGATTTTTCTTCTTCCCACAATAGCAAAAGACAAAGGTGCAATTGTTTCTGTTCACCATGACGTCGCTTTTTTTTAACCAAAACCTTTTTCGGATCATGTAAAAAGATCCATTTTATTTAAATATACAAACTCATTCGAGGAATGAGATCTGGTATACGTGCATTTTAAAATGTCGTACTCAGGTACGATGAAATGTTACCCATGGAATCATTGTACGGCACCCCCAAATTTTCGTTTCCATTTCACTGAATTTGCGTCGTAATATCGCGAGGTTGAGTCGACGTCAACGTTGCGACGCCCCTCCCCCCAGTTCCATCTGGCCCGCCGTCTCGTTGAAATACTTAATGTAACTAAATTCAGTGTGGCAATTACAAACTATCCCCCTCGTCACATGGTCGTCTCTATTGCGGGGTAATGACGCACACACGTCTGGGCGGGCAACTCATTTCACTTGCTCCGGTGTAAATGAAATATTCGTTTGTCTGCTTTGTTTGCACTATTGCGTCTAATCCAAGATTGGTGAAAAGCTTAGACTGGCGTGTTTTTTTCTCCCTTCGATCTTTCTTCCATTCACACTATGCTAATGTTCATTAATACTCTAGTTTATTAACTGTGATCAATATACACCGACGTTGTATTTCTTGTTTGCCGATTATCGAAACTGCAGAGAAAAAAAAATCTACACACGCGATATTTCTCGAGAGTTATCATTCACTTTGGATTGGTTAAATTTACCGCTTATTGTTGATAATAACGTCAATTGAAAATCGGCGAAATTTACCGGCGTGAAACTGCTTGTGAAACAATTGACAACCAAAACGAACGAATTAACGTAGAGGAGATTCACACCAGAAATGGCTAACTGTTATTGGTAGGTATAGTATCCAGAGCTATACACTTCTAAATATACAAACAATCGGTGATATAGGCTGTCACAAACTGATTAGTATGCATACCATTAATATAATAGCATCGCTAACTGGCGAGAGGTTTTAAATGGAGAGCTACGGTGAGCTTCCCAAGGTTGGTACACTAATACAGGCTACTTTATTAAGAATTGGGCCCTCCCAATGTTCAGATATTTCCACTTTTTTTTCCTTGGCTTCGACACATTGCATTTTACGTTCAGTCTTTATGTCTATAGAGCCTTATACGAGTCGGTAACCACCCTGCCCATGTGGTCAGGCCTTTGTTTCCTGAGAGGTTGATTGACAGGCGTGACAGTGATTGACAGTGTCGCCTCGGTGATAGGACAACAAATTTCCTCTAAGCCAATCGAAAGCCATTTATCTAACAAATGCCATGCACGATAGCAGTGATAATATGGGCTGTGTCACTAACTCCCTTGATAAAAACTGACACATTGCTGCGCGCTCGACCACACCCCAGTATTTAGCGTTTAATAGTGTTGTTCTAGCACAAGGCAAAGCAACAACAAGCAGTGAGCGCTATATTCCATTCTAACGCGTGTAAGTGGCGTCCATGTTCCAGCTACCGACTCTGAACTTCAGTCCTCTGCAAGTTGCGAGCGTATGCGAAACACTCGAAGAAAGCGGTGACATAGAACGGCTTGCCCGGTTTCTATGGTCATTGCCCGTTGCTCCAGGAACATGCGAGGCGCTCAACAAAAACGAAAGCGTCCTCCGAGCACGGGCAGTGGTTACCTTCCATCAGGGCAATTTCAGAGAACTCTATAACATCTTGGAGAATCATAAGTTCACCAAGGAATCACATGCCAAATTGCAAGCCATGTGGCTCGAAGCGCACTACCAGGAGGCTGAGAAACTGCGTGGACGACCGCTAGGTCCAGTCGACAAATACCGCGTTCGAAAGAAGTTTCCACTCCCGCGGACTATATGGGACGGTGAACAGAAAACACACTGTTTCAAGGAAAGGACGCGGAGTTTGCTTCGAGAATGGTATCTTCAGGACCCGTACCCGAATCCAACTAAGAAGAGGGAACTGGCCCAAGCCACTGGTTTAACGCCGACTCAAGTGGGAAATTGGTTTAAGAACAGGCGTCAAAGGGACCGAGCCGCAGCAGCAAAAAACAGGCATGTATTTTTGAATGATTTTATACCCGTGTCACTATCGGTACGCCTAGGCTATATACATGGCCATCCCAAAGAGTAAAAACACGAGTAAAACTATTTCGTTTCGCTGTTAACACCCATGTTTAGTCGTACTGTTTTAGTGATATTGGGAGAAAAATACTGGGTCGAAAGCTAACAAATTCTGGGTAAATTTCACAACTGGTTTTAATGTCACGTATGTTCATAGTGATTCCAAGTTCACGACGTAGCAGCCGGTAGCAGTTCGTTCATAAAAGTATTGTAATACAAATGTCCTATTAGGGGACTTCCTGTGCACTGCCAGTGTGAACAAGGTGCTAATGTCGATTCGGGATTCACACAGTGGCCCCTAACGAGAAATAGATATATGGAAGAGAAAGTCGCTGCCTGACAGATTGTGTTGGTTAAGTTCGCTTTCGATAAGGGTCCAATAAGTGTGGGTACCCTGTAAACTTGGTAACAAAATGTGCACGTGCGTGTCCCGTAATCTCACTCTGAAAATCGACTTGGCCTTAGAATATTTTCGTCGCTGTCGTTGGTTCTATACATGAGAATATGTTTTCGTAGTATTGTCAATTATTTGAGTTGTGTGCTTAGGTACGTGTATAGTCAGTCTTAGACAGGGGTATGTAACAATAAGCCGACAGTAGATCCCCACTAGAGGCGGAAAATGGCGGACATGAGTGTAGTTTACATATGAAACTATATCGTCACAACACAGACAGCGCACACTGTTGGCGGGGTATGCCTTTGCATAAATTGTATGAAGTTGTGACTTTCATTGAAAAAATTACTAGTTGTAATATTTATCACTAAAACATCATCACGGCAATCTTGCAAGACGCCAACCGTCGCACAATGTTTAGCTTAACCACAAAACCTGGCTGGGCACAGGGACCGCGCCGACCAACCACCGCAAACTAGCATAGTAGTTACTCCTCCCCTTGAATCGGGGCTAACACCGTCACAACAATATTGAATAATAGCACCAGGCGTAATCCCTGTCGCAATTCAACTAGAAATCAAAGATTTATCGCCAAATACTTATCCCAAAATCGTATCCTCGAGAAATAAGACCTTTACACAGAGAATATGACGGGTGTTCAATAAAGGAAAGCCAGCGTCCGTGTAGAGTATGGGATTTAATACATCTCTACAAAGCACACTGCTCAAAAACAAGACGCTCGCCCCAAGGTTCGATCTAAGACTTCATATTCGTCAGATTACAGCTAAATTCCTAAACAGCGAAACACGACAAATCTTCAGCATTTTCCAAAACAGTTGAAGTAATCTTTAAAATAAATGTTTGAAAACAGCGTCGGGAAAAAGAACAGTTCACGCAAACCAGTCTCTTCCAAGCATTACAGAGTTACACTGCCGAGTTGCCAACTTTGTTTTAGAAACTGTTAATCACTGGTTATGGTTTTTATTGTTTTATTTAATTTTTAAGTTTTGTTTTTTATTTCTTTTCCCTCCCTTAGAGATTAGAAGCGCCACACTGCATGCAAGGAAATATAATCACGAATTTGCTGTGAGTATTATAACGGAAAACTCTGGTCCAAGAACAATTTGTTTTTAATATTTTGGTATAACTATTCTAGTACCTGGCGAATTACATGAAGCCACAGCCAAATTACAGATATATACATATATATATGTATATTTATTCATCACATGGTCACTCTTCTTCCATTTATAAAAATAATAACACACACATCACTGTGCCGAGGTAGTTTTGAGAAGCCAACTTGCAACGCAGTAGTCTGGTACCCTTTTCTACACTCATAATTTTAGAAGTGTTGCGCCATTTTAGGACAGAGAGGGTCACCAACTCCTGGTGAAAGCATTTTACTCAGTTGTTTGTTTTCCTATAAACTAACATCGTAGTCATGTCATTGTCAAAAGAAAGCCGAAAACATTGGGTTATAATTGTGAACCCCAGGAAATGCGACATGGGACGGTGGATACCACGGCTGTAAAATAGACGATTGATCCATTCTAACAACTCCTTACAAGACAAATAATAACATTTGCATTTAATTTTTTTTTGGACTTTAAATTATTAATATTACAAAATGTTGTGATCTAGGATTCCAGATTAGAGCGGAAACGCATCTAAACTATTAGTTATTTTTTCAGAAGAGACAATACTTTTGCCAGTATGGACCAGCATTAAATTACATGACCTTATATTACATGTTGCATTCATTCACAATACTCCAGAATCAAGATAGATTAAAATATCCATCTTTTAATTCAAGTTTCGAGTATTTGCATCACAGGCGTTTTCACTGAAAAAAAAACATCGTTATGCGTACCATACTATATGTTAACTTCTCTGTATGGGGCGTGTATTCAACTCCTTCATCGACGGTCTTATCTCATACAACCATTTTAAAGCTTTATTTTTGTTAGTCGACTGGTGCTTATTCTTTTTTTATTTTATATCAAATGAATGAATAACAGTTTATTTAAAGAGTAAACAGTATCTCATAGCCGATAACGCTATTTGAGCAAAAGATAGATTATATACGCACACCACTCCCATATTCCATCTACCTTTAATCCGTTAGTTTATGCTGTTAAAACGATAAACTCGATACCATTTGCATTGAAACGTGTTCATTTCTGTATTATGTACCAACAATTTGTATATTTCCAACACAATTTACATAAAACATATATAAAAATTGAGACAGTAAAAAAAACTCGGCCGTGTATACTCTCAGCGTAACGCAGAGAAAGCTAACACACGTGTGAAGTGCTCTACATTCCATGCCAGGAGAGAGACACCGTCTACTCAATATCTAGTATGCCGTCGCTAAACATTCTTTGGATTTAAAGTCAAGAACTTTAAAACGTCTGTAGATGATATCGCGGGTGAGAATTTTTGTCTGTTTGGTGCAGCGGGAACAGTCACATTTTCCCTCTTACCGAGGTCGTGAAAATCCACGCTCGATTGTTGAACTGTGGGGACATGTTAGGATTAGAAAAGCGATAGCTATTCGTGTTTTTTTCGATCTGTTGATTGGCGTACTTGTAAAAACACGAATTGTCGGCAATTGTTACGACTGAGTTGCGAGTTAAAAATGACTGAACTGCCCTGGGTGATTTTCCAAATGATAGGGGTATCAACATAGTTGACTTGGCCATGATCCACCCTGTACGAATGATGTTGAACGCTGTGCTTAGTCATACCGACATTTACGCCATTTGTTATGGAACATTTTGTTCAATCGCTATCTGTTATCAATTTAGGAACCCCCCTTAGGACAGTTCAGTCTCTCCCT